GACAAATCCAACCCAGCCAATTACCACCCCATCAGTCTACTCTCAATCATCAGTAAAGTGATGGAAGGTGTCATCAACAGTGCTATCAAACAGCACCTGCTCAGCGGCGCTCAGTTTGGATTCTGCCAGGGCCTTTCATCAGATGGATTAAAGAGGGCATAGTTATTTTAACGCTGTCCCTAATGCACTGTACTGTATTGTAGGTAGTTTTCTTTATTTGCATATAAATTTGAAACCTAGAAATTTTCATTTCAAAGCAAAGCAGCATGTTTAATGTGAAGCTTCAGGGTCAAATACTGAAAATTAGGTCTTTGTATCTCTTCCTTTAGACTACAGCTGTTTAAAATTGTATAAACCTCCCTCACATGTCACAAACCGTTAGTTATTTTCAAACACAATGCTGTAAACAATGTGATAATTAGTTAAGCGTTTCCTAATTATATACACAACTTGAATCTATTAAAAGCAGCTTTCCAGACTTCACTGCCACTGTGAACCACTTAAGTGCGCAAAAAGGATTGAAAATGCTATGACCAAACTTTTAAAAAAGTTAAAGTGGAATAGAAAAATGATAGTGTCAAATGGAAAATCACGTGGAAGTTACTGAGAAGATGAATTCCCCAGCCTTGTTGAGAACTAATGTGAAAAAACCATCAGCTTTGCAAGACAGTATATCTGTTGAATTGAGAGAATGTACAAGAGTTCAATTATACAATATAACACAAGGTCTGTTGAAAGATCAAACTGAACATTCGTTCGGTTTCTTGTTTCACAGATGCTGTCTCCCCTGCTGACTATTTGCAGTAATTTCTGATTTTATATTAAAAGGAATTAAAAGATGCCAGATATCTAACTCGAGACCAATACCTGCTCAGAGATGCAAATTGACATTCAGCAGAACTAGGAGATTTGCATTGAGATTTGTTCTACTTGCTGGTTTACAGTGATGATAATATTTTCATGTTTTGAACATGCTTGTTTGACAGCAGAAAATTCCCCCGATCACATCAGGATTAGCACTAGTAGGTCATTGCAAGCAGTTGCATCCATCATTATTAACATTGCCTACTCCCCAGGATTATCTCAAGGTTTACAATTTAATTTCCAGGATACTATAGCAAGTGACATGGGAAAATAATCATGGGGGTGTGAAAAGAATTGTCTTTTCTTAAATACTTACGTTAGTTAGCTACAAAAATGTTAGAGACAGAGTATAGGTGGCTTGACCAGCAGTGAAGAATCACCCAAATAGTTAACAAAGTGCGTGGTTGCTTTCCAAATGGAGTGCAGCAGCAAGGACAGGAGGAGGTGACCACTTGTTGAAAACTACGAAATGTTTTGAGCGTAGGCCACATTTTGTAGCCAAATGAACTAATAAAAGAATGATATAGCACAGGAGACCTTTCCGCCCATCACGCCTACACTTGCTCTTTCAAGAGACCAATCCCTAACCAATGCCTAACCCTTCATAACTGCATCCTCCGGTTACTGGCCTGTCATTGCAAACAGTTTCTTTCAACATACCAAAATTCGCATGTCTATCAGATATTCCCTCAATTCTAACTACTCTAAGGAAAATACAATGAGCTTCTCCAATTTCTCCACCTAACTGACCTATCTCATTCCAGGTATATTTCTAGTAAATATCTTCTTCATCCTCTCTGAGGCAAAGGAATTAAACATAATATCCTTTCTGATGTTTCTGCCTATCCAATGTTTTACAAAGTGTTAGCATAACTTTGTTGCCTTGGTACTCTATTTCTTATCTAGAGATGACAGCAAGCTGTTCAGCTTGGCACGACTGTGCACTAAATTCAAGTTTGTTAATGACATCATCCCATACTGACATTCACTTACAGTATCTTATAAATTGGTTCTGAGTCTGAAAGGGGTTCTGATTGACAATCGGGGCCAGGTTATAGGACAAGATGTAGTAATCCTTCCTTCCATTCACAAGGACAACCTCACTCTGAAGATTATCAACAGCTTCATGTTCCTTGGATCAAATATCTTGGACCAGCAACCAGTCCCTTGATGACAAAATGGGCAGCAGATTGGAAAGATCACAGCTGCCATATCAAAATTGAGAGTGATTGAGAACAGCAAACTAACCAAAAGCACGAAGATCCACATGCACCAGGCTTATGATCTCTGTCCCCTGCTTTACACAGTGAAGCATGGACAACTTATGCAAGGCAAGAAAAGGTGCTGTACAGCTTCCACCTCCATTGCCTCAGCTGATCACTGGACATCTCCTGGCAAGATAGAGTGCTGCCAGGAGATGTGCAGTTAACACCAACATACAACAATTCTCAATACTTTTGCCCTAATAAGACAGCAGCAGCTCTGTTAGCTGATTCATGTGAATTGAATGGACAATGGTCACATCAACAGATATTCTCTATGGATAGCCTATTAGCACAAGTTCACATTTGCACTGCAAACATCTGCCAATGAGATCAAGACAGCCATGATCAAATCCATGCACGGGAAGCTCTGACTGCTGAACAGAGTGCCAGGCATCAAGCACTGAGGAAGACTGTAGAAAATGCAGACAACAAAAGAAATAGATGGAAGAGAAAACCTGAAGGAAGGAAAATAATGTTAAACAATCTGGAGCCAATGCTATTCATCTAAACCAGCCTATCAACAGGCAGCTTATTAACACAACAGACAACATTCAAGCCAGAAGTGACTCCCAACATGAAAGCATGCCTACCAGTAGCATATATTTCCTTGCTTTGATATTCTATTTCTTTATTTAAATAGCCAAGGAACTAACGATCTTTTTAAAACCTTTTCAAGTTGTTTTACCACTTTTATACACTTTATGCTTCTGTGCTCTAAATTTCAATGGCCATTTTTCTAGTCTGTTTTGTTTCTATCTCTTACAGTCAACCTCATTGTTTACTCTGTTACAAAGTTGTGTGGCACCTGTAGGATAAGATGATGGACTACTGGCATTAAATCACAAAATTATTAATCCAGAGCCCCACGTAATGCTCTGGGGACCTGGATTCAAATCCCACCACAGCAGGTGGTGGAATTTGAATTAAACAATAAATAGAAGTCTATGGCCATTAAACCATTGTCGATTGCCAGGAAAAGCCATCTGGGTTCACAAATCTCCTTTTGGGAAGGAAATCTGCTGTCCATACCTGCTCCGGCCTACAGGTGACTCTTATCTGCCCTCTGGGTGATTAGGGATGGGCAGTAAACATTGGTCTAGCTAGTAACACCACATCCCAGAATGAATTAAATAAAACTTTTGGAAATTAGGCATTGTACAGATAGGCTCCAATCAAATCAGTAGCGATCTTAATACCACCTTAGGAGCATGGGAACAGATTCTTCAGTCCAACTCAACCATGCTGACCATAATCCCAAACTAAACTAATCCCACTCGCCCACATTCCTCTATTCATGTACTTATCCAAAAGTCTTTTTGATGTTGTAACTGTATCTGCATCCATCACTTCCCCGGCAGTTCATTCCACATACGAATCACTCTCTGTGCAAAAACGTTGCCCCTCATGTCCTTTTTAAATCTTTTTCATCTCACTTTAAAAATATGCCCCATAGTTTTGAACTCCCTCAACCTAGGAAAAAGACCCTTGCTATTCACCTTATCTATACCCCTCATGATTTTATAACCCTCTGAGGTTACCTCTCAACCCATTATGCTCCAGGGAAAAAAAAACCCAGCCTATCCAGCCTCTTCCTATAACTCAAACCTTCCATTTCCGGCAACATCTTGGCAAATCTTTTCTGAACCCTCTCCAGCTTAACAATATCCTTCCTAAATCAGGGTGACCAGGCCTGCACATAGTACTCCAAAAGAGGCCTTAATGTCCTATGCAACCTCAACATGACGTCCCAACTCCTGTACTGAAAAGGTCCGAGCAACGAAGGCAAGTGTGCTAAACAGCTCCTGTTTAATCTCCCTGTCTATATGCGATGCAGATTTCAAAATATTATGTACCTGAATCCCTACGTCTCTCTGTTCTACAACATTACCCAGGTCCCTACCATTACTGGTTTTACCAAAATGCAATACCTCACATTTATCCAAATTAAACTCCATCTGCCACTCCTCAGCCCATTGACCCAATTGATCAAGATCTCTTTGTAATCTTAGATCACCTTCACTGCTCACTATACCACCAATCTTGGCACCATCTAAATTCTTACCCAAATCGTTTATATAAATGACAAACAAAAGTGGACCCAGTACCAATCCCCGTACCGCTGGTTACAAGCCTCTAGTCCAAAAGACAATCCTCCACCACTACCCTCTATCTCCTACCCATAAAATCAATTTTGTATCCATCAAGTTCTCCTTGAATCCCATGGGATCTAACCTAATAATCAGTGTACCATGCAGAACCTTTCAAAGGCTTTACTAAAGTTCATGTCAACATCTATCACTGTGGGAAACCAATTTTTTTGGTTACTTCTTCATAAAAACTCAAACAAGTTTGACAGACATATGTTCCCTTGCACAAAGACATGCTGACTATCCGTAATCATTCCTTGCCTCTCCAAATACATGTAATCCTATCTCTCAAAAGCCCCTCCAACAACTTACCCATCACTGATGTCAGACTCACAAGCCTATAGTTCCCAAGCTTCTCCTTACAGCCATTGTAGTTCTCAGACAGCTGTCTTCTTTAGAAGGAAGATGGGCCAAGAGAGGAGGAAGATGACCCAGGAAGAGTTCCCTATCACTTCAACTAGACAGCAAAATGCTGCCTTCACATCTTTAATGAGACTAACACATTCTGAGTCAAACGTCTGTTTGGGCTCTGGTATCAATGAACAATCACCGACTGTCATGGTTGTATATTTTTCTTTGTCTGACTAATTATTTTATTGCATCTAAACTGCTGCTAAACAAACTTAATAAACCATCAGAAAATTGGTACAAATTGTTGACTGACTATATTAGATAAATGAGATCACAAACTCCCCAAAAACTAAAAACTTATTTGCCTTTTCACCTTTTGATTTGTAGGAGTATCGGTCTCATCACCATCTTCCTGCTGACCATACAATGGACCCCCAAGAAGTTTTATTCGCTTCTCACACTGTTTCTTAGCAACTGTGAGCTGATTGATGTACCTCTTCATGTTGCGGGCTCGGAGGAGATCTGCTTTCATGGCAGCTGATTCTTTTCCTTTGCTATCTGCATGGGACAGTCAAACGAGAAACATGGTGATTCAATCGGTCCTTCCAAAATAAAAGGAAAAGAATGGTCACAGAAAATCAAAACTTTTAAAAAGAACACCCCTTCAAAATGTTCCAGAATTCCAGAGGCAAACCGAGGGTGACTGCTATTGTCTAAGTGAATCATAAACCTGCATCCATCATTCTTGACAAAAACACTCACAAATGGACAACAGAAAAGCAGCTCTGTTGGAAAAGCAGCTCTGTTGGACGAACTCTACAATCTAAGACCATAAGATGTAGAAGCAGAAGTAGGCCATTCAACCCATCTAGTCAGCTCTGCCTTCAATGCGATTGTAGCTGATCTAATAATACTCAACTTCACTTTCTTGCCTTTTCCCTATAACCTTTGATTACCTTACTGATTAAAATTCTGTCTGTCTCAGCCTTGAAAATACTTAATGTCTGCAGCCTCAACTGCCTTCTGCAGTAACGAATTCCACAGATTCACTACTTCAGAGAAGAAATTCCTCTTCATCTCCATCTTATGCTCTTAGGTCCAAGGCTTACTCACAAAGGAGAACCTGTTCCCATCTACTCTGTCAAATCCCCTAAGAATCTTATGTGTTTCGATAAAGTTGCCTTTAATTCACCTAAACATTAATGGGTACAGGCCCAATCTGTTCAAACTCTTCTCATATGACAATTCCTCCATATCTGGTATCAACCAAGTGAGTCTGCTGTAAACTGCCTCCAGTGCCAGTATATCATTCCCTTAGTAAGGGGACCAAAACCGTTTACAGTAATCTAATTGTGGTCTGACAATGCCTTCTATAGTTTTAGCAAGACCACCCTATTCTGATACTCCATATGAAATAAAGGCCACCAGTCCATTTGCCCTCCAGATTACCCACTGAACTTGGATGTTAGATTTTTGAGGTTCATGCACGAGGACCACCAAATTCCTGTGCAGCTGCTTTCCCTACTTAAATAATATTCAGATTTACTGTTTTTTTTTGCCAAAGTACATAACCTCAAATCTTCCCTCATTATATTCCACTTTTGACCACCCACTGAACTTATCTATAAATCTCTAAACTCCTTGTGTCATCTTCACTACTGGCTTCCCACCTATTTTAGTGTGATCTGCAAATTTGCCGATAATGCATTCACTTCCATCATCCAGGTCATTAATATGTATAGGAAATAGTTGCACACAAGCACTGATTCATGTGGCACTCCACTAGGCACAAGTTGCCAGTGTGAAAATGATCCCTGTAACTCAACTCAGTTTTCTATTATACAGCCAATCCTCTACCCACATTAAAACACTACCATGAGCTGTTATTTCTTTAAACAGTTTTATGTGTGGTACCTGATCGAACACCATCTGGAAATCCAAATACATTACATCTATGGCTCACATTCATCTATCCTGCTTGTTCTCCTCAAACACTGTAATAAATTTGACAGACATGATTTCCCCTCATGAAGCCATGTTGATTCTGCATGATTTTACTACGCATTTCTAAATGCTATGCCATTACATCCTTTGTCTTTACTTGATCTCTGCATATACCTGCCTCCCAGTTCTTCCAGCCATTGGTATTTATCTGGTCAGAAATGGTATAAGATATATATAACGTGTTCCTGATGGGTTGCATCATAAAATTTTAAAAGAAGTAGCTGTAGAGATAGTGGATGCACTGATAGTAATCATCTTCCAAGAATCTTTAGGTTTTGGCACAGTCCCAGAGGATTGGAGAACTGCCAGTGTAGTACCCTAAACCAAAAAGGGAGCAAGGCAATAATCGAGTAACTTTGGTCAGTTAGCTCAATATCCGTCACTGAGAAAATACTAGAATCTATTGTAAAGACCCACAGAATATTATCTGATCATACATTCACATCGACAACTTCACTGCTCCACATATCTGTCCTTTCGTTTGAAGGAAGCATGACAAATTGAATACCAACATTCGGATTAAGGATTAAGCTCTGTTTACAAGCCTCAAATTGCCTGTACAATATTGTAGATCCAGAGCACTGAACAAAACCACTACAAAAGAACATAAATAACAATTAAAAACTGCAGATGCGAGAAGTCTGAAACAGAAACAAAATGCTGGAGAAACTCAGCAGGTCTGTATTTGTAGAGACAGTGATGCAGAATTAATGTTTCAAATGGAACCCTTCCTCAGAGCCACAAAAGAACCATAATTTTAGATGTGCAAGATGCAAATTGAACAAATCTGAACAATTAACAAATCTGATAATCACAATGAATACTATTACAACCATAGCTATCAGCACATTTTTCAGCAAAAAATTTTTCAAGTGAACCTATAATGTACCTCTGTTCACTGTATAGTATTTCTATAGCTGAACATATTGCAAACCAGCAATCTGAAAATAACTTTAACAGTAAATTCTTTAAGAACAGGTCATACTAAGAACAAGCTACGAAATTATTCAACTACCAGCCTCCCAAAACAAGCTTTCCTGAATTGATAATGAGTAAGCAAAAGCAAAATTAAAATAAAGTTGTGATCCAATCGTATATTTCTTTAAAATTACACAATCTCTAAATTATTAAAGGGATATTGAAACAGTGTAGGAATTGTAAAAACAATCTACAGTGATGATACTGGGACCATGAAGGCACTTGTCAAAGACCCTCCCCTACAGTGGGGATAACACAGATTACCGGAGTCTATAAATGTTAAGACAGCATTAGATATAGTAGTCCCAAGAGTATTTCCCACTTGCAGCAATTCCAACATAATACTATATAAATACTAGATACTTAGTAATAAACATGTTAAAGAATTCCAGAGAAATCTCTTTCCATAGCACTTAGAATGTGGAGCTTGTAACCACACAACAGTAATCAAAATGAACTGCTTCAATACATTTAAGGGAAAGCTAGAGAAGTATGATAGAGAAAGGAATTTTAAAAAATGTAGCTGAGATTGAGTGCAAGTTTCTGGAGTTTGGTCAGTGGGAACCTGGTGTCTAAATTTGGTACTTAACTCTAAGATAGTTTGTAAGAAGCATGGAAAGTGCTGTTCATTGAAGCTTATGCTTAGGCAGGGTGACCACAACTGCTACTGTGTAAACTGACAGGCCTAACCCAGTTCTGTAGAAACAGACCAGCTAGGTATAAACTGGGAGGATTTAACGAGAGTGGCTGAGATAAAGTGCAAATCTCGAGTCTGGTCAGTGGGGAGTTAGGTGAATAAGGGAAGAAGGTGTTTGTTTGCATTTGCTGTTGCCCTTCCACCCACCTTGCCCTGTAGGAATTGGATCTTTTTCCACTAGAGCTGGGAAATTAGCTACAGCAGTTCTATAACACTGAGTGAACATACCAGTGTGACATCTCATTCTGATTGGTAAATGAGTATTTCTTTCTTCTGCCTTCTCTGACATTTCTTCAATTTTTTAATATTTTATAATATCCTATTGTGACTTCTACTTTTAATACCGTTTTTTTAGCTTTTTGTATAGGGTCTATGGGACAGATTTTAACTCTTTCTTTCCAGTCATCTTAAACATCTTTAAATTTAATTGTATATGGCAGGGGAGGCCAAGCCAATATATTGTACCATCTGCAGCACGTGGTAATTCCTAGATACTTCTGGCAGTCTGGATGACAGCATCTACAGGAAGTGCTGCTAGTTTAAACAGCTTGATTGCCCACTGTTGAAAGTTGAGCATCGGCTACAGGCACAGAGGTGTGTGCACAAGGCTGAAAGCCACATAGATAGCATGTTTTCTGAAGGAATCGCCACACGGAGCTGCAGGCAGAGGAAAGGGAGGCAAGCAGAAAAGTCCCACTCAATAACCATTTTTCTGCGTTGGAAAATGATAACGGCGAAGTCTCCACTGGGGTCTCAGCATGAAGGGTGGCCCAGCTGCAGAAGGAGAAAGGAGCAAGAGTCCAAGGGAAATAGTGGTACCTGACTTGATATTGAAGGTACAGAATGGCATTCCTTTAGTTATTGTCACATCTCTGACTACAGGATGACGTATTGCTTCCATAGGGCCAGGGTCAGGGACCTTACTCAACGGTTGCAAGGTATCCTGAAGGGTGAGGGTGTTAATCCAGATTATGGAACACATTGGTGCCAACTATACAGGTGGAATGAGGGATGAGGTCTTACATCAAGATATCAGGGAGCTAGGCAGTTCCTCCAAGGTTGTGGCCAGTACCATGTGCTAGCAAGGACAGAATGAGAATAGGGCAGATGAATGTGTGGCTCAGGAGTTGGTGCAGGCCGGAGGGTTTTCGAATTTCTGGATCTCTGGAACTGTTTCTAGGAAGGTGGGACCTGTACAAGTGGGGCAGTCTGCATCTAAACCAAAATCGGATTAACATCCTTGCGGCTGAATTTGTTAGTGCTGTTGGAAGGAGATTAAACTAGCTCGGCAGAGGGAGGAAACACAGCATTAATACAGTAGGAACATAGTACAATATAGTAACAGAACTAAGAAAGAGGGCATTGAGCCATGTTGCAATTCAAGGGAGTAGGTGATTCTGATTGGCCTCTGATACTAGGTGTTTTACAAGGGAGACAGGGGAGTTAGGGAGTGGATTGACATGTGGAATTGTGATATTGCCTTTACAGATGCGGTTGGGGAGGGGGAGGGCTGTGGGGGACAGGACTGGCAACTCAATTTGGGATACAGGATCTTCAGGCAAACGCACTGCCTGGGAGAGCAGCAGAGGCAGGAAACCTCACAACCTTTAAAAGGCGCATTGATAAGCACTTGAAATGTCATAATATTCGGGGCTATAGACCAGATGCTAGAGAGTGGGACTGGTGTAGATAGGTTAGTACAGACTCAAAGGGCCGAAGGGTCTCTTCTGTGCTGTACGACTCGGCGACCTGTCCATTTGTTCAGATTGAATAAACCAAGAGGAATTTTATGTGCCATCTTATTACCAAAGTGAATAAATGGTTTTAGTGCTAGAAATTCCACATAATTAGACAACACTCTTTAAAAAAAGTTAAATAT